GTCGTCTTTTATCGTGCGGGTTTCAAGTCGTGTAACGGGTTCATAAATAATAACATGCATGTTACGAAACTCACAACTGAAAAAATTTAAATTAAAAAAAAACAGAGAGAGTAGAGAAAATATACGGAAAAGAAAGAAAAAAAAGATAGAGAGAGGAGAGAAGAGAGAAGAAAAAGAAAGGAAAAAAATATAGAGAGGTATTATAGCGGGTTAGTGGGTTGACCCGAAACTCACCCGTTTATTAAACGGGTCAAAACGAGTTGACCCGAAATTGACCTTTTTTTTATCGTGTGGGTTGAACCCGCTAATTTCTCGTGCGGGTTTCGAGTCGTGTATCAGGTCGTGTCCGAAATTGCCACCCTTAGTCATGACTGACTTTCCTTTATGATCAATTCTCCATAGTCCTGACGCTTCTTAATGACTTATGAAGTGGGCTATATAACTAAGCCAATACAACCTCCTCTACTGGCCGAAGACTGCAATAAAAGACTAGGCTTTAGCAGACTTTGTCTCAGAATTCACTCCATCGCCAAGAAAAAGAAGCTGGTCAACAAAAACAAGGAAAGTTCGAGAGCAGACAAGACCTCCTTCACCGAACTTGACAAACTTAGAGACATGTAGCAGTTGAGCGTAGACGGAACGAGGCATTGCTCATTGGCTTGTGCTTGGCAAAGCACCCAAAGATGATTTTGTGCCTTAACAAAGTCCAAGAGTTATTGAAGGCATTTCTACCTTCGCCATCCAACAGGTGCCCCGAGCAGAGAACGCGCACGCAGACATACTGGCAAGCATAGGATCAACGCTTGATACCCAATTCCGACGCTCCATCCTGATCGAGCACCTTAACAAACCAAGCATACAAGAGAAAGAGCAGCCAGATTCGATGCAGATTGACGAAGATCCTAGATGGCAAGATCCTATCATTGACTACCTGGTGAATGAGAACTTGTCAAAAGACAAATTCGAGGCAAGAAAAATCAAGCAGAAAGATGCGAGATACTATATGAAAAACAACATGCTTGTTCGCATATCATACTCTAGTCCTCATCTCACCTACATCAAGTACCTGTAAACACTCGAGGTGCTCTGCAAGACATGATGGCGAATGTGGGAATCACTTTGGGGGCAAATCGCTTACCCATATGGCTCTCAGCATAAGCTACTTTTGGCCCACCATGCACCAAGAGTCCATGGAGTATGCTCAAATATGTGATCGATGCCAATGCTATGAACCAGTACTTGGCCTGCCAGTTGAGGTGTACCATCTGTAGAACAGTCCATGGCCATTCATGCATTGGCCATTGACTTGGTGGGACTTATGCCACTGGTACTTTCCAGGAAGGATATGATGATCGTTGCCATTGAGTACTTCATTAAGTGGATCGAGGTCAAGGCTCTATCATCTACCAAGGAAGCTGACGTCGAACGATTTATTTGGAGGAACATCACCTGTCGATTCGGTTGCCTGCAGTCGATAGTAGCAGTGTCAAACGGGCCGTGCTGGGCTGGTTCGTCCCATTTAAACTCGTGTTTTTAACATTTTCATGCCAGGCCACGCCGGCCCATTTAGTAAAATCATTGATCCCAGCTCAGCCCAAAGCCCATGTCCACATTGAAATGGAGGAGCCGTGCTCGTGGTCGTGCCATATTCGGGCTTAAGAACCTACCTATTTAATTTGAATTTTTTTCACTTGATTTTTTTTGTCCACTAGATCATTCAAATTATAGACATTAAAAATATAATTAGAGGCAAAAAATGATGAACTATTTGAAAACATTAATCAATCAAACATCCAAACAATATGAAAGGGCAAAGGGCAAAAAGTGTCTAACTCCACAAAGTACACTTCAACTTTTCATCTTTAAACAACTTATTATTTTATATGTGAATAAATGTCTTGTTTTGATTATAAGAGAAGTGTATATGTCATATGTACTGATTAGATACAAAATCCAATACTTTGTTAATTAATTTGCAGTTGATATGTTTAATTAATTAAGAACCCAAGTAATTTCCCTAAAATGAAAGACATAAAATATATGTTTATGATTTAAAAAAAACCATATAAACAATAACATTAGACGTCAAATTTTTACATTTTGACTTTTGAGAAGGAAAAAAATGTTAAGTGGGCCGGGCTTGGGCCGTGCTTGAAGCGGGTTTGGACTCGGGTCGTGCTTGAAGTGGGCTCGGGCCAACCCTGGCCCGGTCTATTGGACCTCATTTTTTTTAGGCTTATTTACTGTAACACCCCCTGAAACTTTGGTCAAATATCACTTTATACCCCGAAAGTTAAAATGGCCCACTTAACCCCCTTGACCAAGGTTTGGTGTTCCAGTTTACCCCTATCGTTATCTCCATTAATAACTCCATTAATTTTGATGACGTGGCATGACTGTTTTAGTCTTTTTACCATAAGTGATTATGTGTGAGATGTAGGCCCCACTTTTTCTATTTAAGTAGACTAAAATATTAATAAATAAAATAAAATAAAATAATTAAATAATGTAATTACTTGTTAATATAAAAAAATATCAAAAATGAAAAAAAAAAAATATTAAAAAAAATCTCTTCTTCTCCATCTCTCTCCCTCTGTCGTCCTCTCTCCTTCCCCTAACTTCAAACTATCAGACCACAACCACCACCCAACCCAAAGCCACCCTCACCACCACCACTCCAACCTGACCCAACATCACCCACCCAGCAACCAACCTTTACCACCCTCCTACCACACAACTTCTCAAGACACCCCCACCTCTCTCTCTGTTCCTCTCTCTTCTCCCAAGCTGTACATAAAACGTTGGTCTGCCATGCCATCATCAATTCTAAAATAATCCCAATGATTATATTATAAGATCTTCCGCTCATGATTTTGTGATCATTGATTCATGCGCCTTACTTTGAACAGATGCTTTGATTCCTACCTACCATGTTTAATAATTTTCTTATTGCAAATTCAATAGTGTATAACATTTCTGTGAAGAACATTGCTGATCGGAACCAGCAACCGGCCAGAAACTACTTATGGGGGAGGCAGCACCCATGCCACGGCCACGACCACAATAATCTTGAGTAAATCAGTGTCCGCTTATATACTCAAGAGAAACATTGAAAACCGTAATTTGGTATAAAATTGCAAGTTCTGCTAGCAATGCTTTCTAAAAGACTACGAGGACTTTACATTTAAATCACTTTTACATATGAATCATGGTCGGTGTTCAACTACAAAAAAGTTCAATCTCATTGTTAGCCACTGTCCTATCAACTAGTATAGGTAACTGACTAATACTAATACCTCATCTGGAATAATGGGCATAATATTTTTTTGGGATAAAATATTTTCTTTTTTTTTTAAAAGAAGAAGATAATACGCTATCGGGGCTGGGCTAGGGAAGGGGGAGGTCGTGGCGGGG